GCTTACCTAAACCCTTTAAACAAAAAAAAAACAGTTCCATTACTTACTAACAAAGATTATATACCTGATCTGCATTAGGTTAGTAATTGATCTTGGAGACACTTTTTTACTTGCATTCCATGGTTCCCTTATTGATCTGCATGATCTGAAATGGTTCCTAAGATATTCCTGTAAATATTAGTTCAAAGATTCTATCTTGACCACTTTTTACAAGAAATGTTCATTATCTCTTCAGGATTGTGTTGCGCTGACAAGACGTAGAGTGAAAGAGCTCCAGAATGTATTGAATGAAGCTATTTCAGATATGGAGGTAGACTGAAGGAGGATTGCCTTGACCATAGCATTCAACATGCAGCTGGTTTTGACTTTAGGATTGCCTGCTTGTACTCAAATATTATATAATAGAGGTCACTTGAACTTACTGAAAAAATGCATTAGAAAAGGTAGCTCTGGTAGCCATGGCTGCAGGAATTTTGATTAGCTAATATTTTGGTGGGGAATTGCTTATTAATTATTTATTAGTTCTCTTAGTTGTTTCATTTATATCATTTCGCCTCAAGCTCGATTTACAGCTATACCATTTCCCTGGTCAAGTGATAATTCAGTCCAGGTTTATGATGGCAACCATTTGGATCCAATGGTAAGAATTAGGCTTTGGGTAAGTTATGAAGTTAAAGCTTTAACTACAAGTGCTGTTGCGGGGTAAAATTAGTTGTCATAGTGCATGGCTTGGTGTTGCGGAGTGCTGCTTCGATCTGTAAAGATTGGTTTGGGCAAAATTTCTGTTCTTCCCCCTGCCCCCGACTCCTTTTTTATTTTCGAATATCTGCTCAGAACTTTGGTCTGATTTGGTTGATTCTGAAGAAATTAAAAGGTTGCGAAGTTTGATGAAGTTGCAGCCTGTGTTGTGGGTTAACAATCTCAACTATAACTAATTTTGCAGTTATATTATGAAAATAAAGAAAGAATTATTGTCAATTACAATAATTTCAGTTGACTATGGTACAGGATTGACAAGAAAAAGAAAAGAAAGATTACAAAGTGACAACTTCCAAGTCATTTCAGATTTTCATTTTACATTGCATTAAATTTTGATTTGTTAATGGTGTAAATAATTGACCAATTTCAACAAGTTACCCGTGTTATCGCCACATGCTTAATGTAAATATTTGCCAGTTAAATTTTAAGCGATTCCCCATAAGCAGATTGGTCTCTTTTGTATTCTTTCTTTTCTTTTCTGTTGTTGTCATCTTGTTTGTGTTGATTTTAACTGGACCCATTAATATTCACATGAAAAAATATCAACTCCTTTTCACCGAGAGACACAAACTGAGAACTCGGAATCTTTACAAGCAAAAAGAGCTACATCTAAGGGGAAAAAAAAACTTTTCAATCTTCACTCTTCATGATCTACATTACTCTTCATTTAATCTCTTCTAGTGGTCTAGAAATAATGGCATTCTTTATTTCTTTCTTGCATTTGCATATTGGGTTGGAAAAAAGAAGAGCTGTTTAGGAGGCTCAAAATATTTTTTTCCCTTCCAGTTATCTATGAGAAAAGTGTTAAAATGGTGTGGTTAACATTGTAGAAGCATGTACACCTTTGGTGATTACAAACATCACAAGGAAATGCTAACCAATAGCTTTAATCTAGCTTATATGTTCTTTTAATGATTGATTTAATGTAGAAATGGTAATATAATGGTCAACTAATTCCAAATATGATTAGCATAGACCCCTCTCTTAGACAAAGTGGAAACTAACTTTTGACCATAGGTAGAACACTGATCTGTAGATTAAAAGCATTATCTTGATTTTTATAACAGTCCCTTGTGCTATTACTTGGATTCTGATAGCTTCCAATAGTGTACATAAGTTCCATAAATTGTTGACATGACTATTTCAACATCTTAATCAGCATAAATTGCTGGACTCTACAAAGGTCTAAAGCAGCTAAGTGAGCTCATTTCGTCGTACCAATCACTGAAGGACATAGGTTGCGGCCCTCAGATTGTGAACTCTATCATCAGTACTGCTAGACAGTGCAATCTCGGCAAGGATGTCCAGCTTGCAGAAGAAGGTAAGGAACAACAATAATAACAACAACAAACCCAGTGTAATTTCACAGGTGGCGTCTGGTGAGGGTAGCGTGTATGCACAGTCAGAAGAAGGTAAGGAAATATCAGCCAAAGAGAGAGACCCTATGGCTGGTGAAGTGTACTCTAAAATTATGGAGATCGAGTCTCGTCTTCTGCTATGCGGGCTTCACATCATGTCATCATCGGTGAGCCCCCAACAGCAATGGAAGCAGTTGCTACCCTTGTTAACATTGCTGCATTGGACGGTCCTGAAGATGGTATTTCTTTCCTTCCATCTATATTAGCAGAGACAGTTGGAAGGAACATAGAGGATATCTACATAGGAAATGATCAAGGTATTTTACGAGATGTGGAACTGCTACGCCAGATAACTGAGGCGTCACATGGAGCAATTTCAGCATTTGTGGAACGTACAACTAACAACAAGGGTCAAGTTGTTGATGTCCCTAACAAGCTGACCTCAGTTCTTGGTTTTGGTATAAATGAACCATGGATTCCGTCAACCACAGCAGTAGTAAAAGGATGGAAAACTCAGTGATAGACCAAGGTGTGAACAAAAAATGGCAGCTCGGTGCAATAAGCTCTCGCTATGTCCGGGGTCCGTGAAAGGGCCGGACCACAATGGTCTGTTATATGCAGCCTTACCCTGCATTTCTGTAGGATATTGTTTCTACGGCTCGGACCCCTGACCTCATGGTCACATGGCAACAACTTTACCAGTGATAGACCAAGGTGTGAACACCGCAAGAAAATTGGGCATCAAAAGGACAAATGCTTTGAGAATGTTGGTTATCCACCCAATTGGAGGAAGAAAACGATCAAGTCAGAACTTCAGGCAGCAAATTCCAACGTTATAAAAGAGTCTATGTTATAAATATGAAGACATGAGCTCCATCTCCAGTTAATTCCTGACTACTCTGGTATGACTCTACTGCCATAAGAATTCATTTCTTCATCTTTTATTTGTCATTCCCCTTCTTATAGTGGAGTTTACTTTGCTGAGTATTTGTTTGATATAAATGAATTCCTACTGGCATCTGTGAAGGCAATGGATATCATTAATCTTTGTTAACTTGAAGGCCAATGAGAGAATTGTCAAAGCCTTTCTTATAATCAGAAAGGTAGTTGATAGAATTGTTGAAGCCTTCTTGTAACCAATTAGAAAACATGTAGATGCATAAGCTAAGTTACAATAAAACAAATTAAAGTCGATATCAAAGTGTTGGTATGTGTTCAAAGTAAATGAAAAGAAAATAGAGCCTTTTTAAGATATTTTAAACCTTTCTATGCTCTATATAATCTATGGCTTTCAAAAGCTCATTCCTACGGAGGGGTTTAGGTAAGTAATAATCCATTCCAACTTGGAAAATCTTATCTATCTCTTCCTTTGCTGTATGCGCTGTTAAAGCTATGATGGGAATTCAAATTCCATAACGTGCCTCTTCTTTCCTAACGCATTTGGTTGCTTCAAATCCATCCATCACTGCCATCTGCCAAACGACAAAACAAACAATGATATAAGTTATATGACTTGACGTCAGTTTATCGAAAACAACCTCTCTACCTCAGGGTAGCGGTAAGGTCTGCGTACACACTACCCTCCCCAGACCCCACTAGTGGGATTATACTGGGTTGTTGTTGTTGACTTGACATCAGTGTACAAAGATTTTACGCTATCAGTGTAGTTAACATGCTATAATAAGTTATCTACTCTATTTTTCAAGTTTCCGGATTTGCTTGTTATTAACAGTTACCAATTATTATAGGTCAACTTATTCACAGAATGGTTTATGATGGTTGCCTATTACCTCTTTATAATGAAGAAGTCAAATGATCTCTGCTCTTTTTAAAAAAAATAAATCCCTATAGCTATTTTCTTGTTACAAATGAACAATAGTATGCTTCAGCAACTAATAGGGAACTCATTAGTTCTGGTACTCACACTTTTTTTCTTTCAATGTTCAAAAACATATAATAGTAGATTTTGGGAAGAAAGTAACTAGCTAATAAACTTAGAACGGAAAAATAGTAGCATATGCAATCAACATTTTAAATGAGTAGCTCTGCTAGTTGGACTTCCAAAAATAGTAACTTATGCAAATGACATCTCAATGCTTTAAAAGTTTATCTTACATCAAAGTCTATTGCTCTTAGCAATTCAACTTTTATTTTTCAATACAAAATTTAAGATTTGCCCTTTTGAACCATTCAATAAGATGTTAACTTCAATGTTAACCTCAACTGAAGTCCTTCTCAACCTATATATGTTTCTTGGATCCTCCAAAAGTGTCACCGCATCCTTGTCTGATCCTCCAAATATTATGCATTATTTGGAGGATCCGACACAGGTGTGACCACATTTTTGGAGGATTTGAGCAACATAGTCTTTAACCAGAAGAATGAATATGAATCACATCTTACCTCACAATCCATGAGATAGTCAACTGGTGGTGAAGGAGTAGACGGTCCTATCTGGCTTTGATCTCTAATGCCTTTGCAAACATGAGCTAGAGCTTGTTCACCATTTTCACATGTGTAAGTATTTGCACCAAGCTGAGAAACCATGGTTCTGCAAATCTTAAGTAGTAGTTCATCATCCTCTACTACCAAGATTGTCCTTCCTGTTAAAGGTAATCTATTACTAGAACTTCCGTTAACATCAACAGAAACATCTTGTATTTCTCCTTCTAGGCGTGGACTTCTAGACTTCATTGGAGTATTCTGAATCTTGATTCTTGAAGTTCTTTCATCCTTTATTTCTTGTGTAATGGTTGGTAAAATTGTATCTCCAAACTCTGGTACAAATCCGAGGATATGATATAAACAAGAACCATGTAGTGGTTTTGCCATGACTATATCTGTTGAAGGTAGCTTATCCTCATCTATGCCTGGTTTATCGAGCTAAACAACTCGAAGTGAGGCATTCTTGGGGAAGTCCTTCCGAAATTCAGCCATAGCAAGACTTATTTCTCGAAGTGGTCCAGCACTTGTGTCAATTATGATCAAGATGAATCTTATGAGTGCACTCTTAGAATAAAGTCCTCCGCCGCCCCTACTCTGAAAGGATGGGATATGATCATCATGTGTTCCATCTAAAGCACTGAGGGGAATTTCCTTTGATTTCCCTGAAGATGATGAGTTGTATGACAGAAAGTTGATTAATTTCCTTTTCACCTTCTTGAGAGTAGGAGAAAATTGCTCGAGCCGCTTCACAACATGTGCCCTTAAGCCTATGTTCATCATGAATCTATGAAGAACTTTGCTTCTTTCCTCCTCCCTAATGAAAAGAATGACATCGGATCTTTCTGGTTTCTGATGGCTAGCGATACTATTACTACTTGGTGTTGAATGATAATAGGAGTCACTAGTTATATAGCCTCCTAAATGGGACTCTGGATCTTCTCCTCTTAAAACATTGACATTAATTGCTTGATGTTCTTGAACTTGAGACTCACATGCTATAAGGAAAATGTTGAATCGAAAGCAAAGGCCCTTTTCGCCAATATCCTTGTCGATGATACCTATTTCACCTCCCATTAAGCGAACCTAAAAAGCAAGAAAGAATATGAGATATGAGGTAATAAGTTCATTAAATTATAAATGCAATGCTTTCTGCTTTAGCAGACACTTGTTTACATGTAGCTGAACAAATTCTTGTGTTTTCATACATACCTTTGTTGTTAGTTCACACATAATTTAAGGACGTTATATATTGGTGATGTTTCAAGTATAATGAAAGTCTAAACCAAAAAAACTGGTAGCCCGGTGTACTAAGTTCCCGCTATGCGCAGGGTCCGGAGAAGGGTCAGACTATAATGGTCTATTTTACGTAGCCTTACCCTGCATTTTTGCAAGAGGTTATTTTCACGGCTCGAACACGTGACCTCCTGGTCATATGGCAGCAACTTTACCAGTTACGTCAAGGCTCCCCTTCAGTATAACGAAAGTCTCTTGGAGAAATATGAGTACCAAAAAGAGACTTCAATACCACTGATAAAACAAGAAATTAACAGGAAAATTCTTTAACCTTTAGTGTGTGTGTAATTGTCACATATATAAAGTGCAGAACACAGTGACTCTAAATTCTGAACATTGTATGGTAAGAGATACATACCAAAGACTGAATAATGCCAAGCCCCAAGCCAGTGCCTGCTTGTCCATAATTAGGAGCTGTCTCATTCACTTGAATATAATTCTCAAAAACAGATTTCTGTTTCTCTTTTGGAATTCCTTTCCCTGTATCATCCACCTCGAATATAAATTCCACACAGTTGGGATCTTTCTGGACTTTGTTCAGTACTTGCAATTCTGCAGAAACTGCTTCATCGTTCTGTAAAAGAAAGCATGACATACAACCAACATAACAATTTGTACTTGGAGCAGCAAGATTGGAGCTTTGATCAAAACCAGTTTTTCGAGCCCAAACTCGAAGAGAAACATGTCCCTCTGAGGTGAATTTAACTGCATTATGCAACAAGTTACTCAAGATCCGTCTTAATTCTCTCCTATCGCCTTTTACACGAGAGAATCTTGTGATAGAATCATCACATGGATCTAGTAACACATCTACATTTTTCATTGCTCCGTTAGGGTAATAGAAATTGACAATATGTTCAAGTAGCTCTTGCATGCTGAATTCTTCTTCTTCAAGTTGCTTCTTTCCTTCTTCAATCTTGCTTTGATCAATAATAGAATTCAATATAGCTGAACTATATCTACCCGAGCAAACTGACCCTAAATCTTGAATCCGCTTATATATCCATACACAATAAGTATATCTATGGTAACTTAACTACACTAGCAGCAAAAGTTTAATACTTCATTTTTATCATCTGGCAGTTCAACGTGTATCTATATGAGGACTAATATACTGCACAACATGCAGATCACAGAACTAGTATAATCACTTAAACATAAAACTTTCTACTTCAGATACACTTGAACCAGAGACGGATCCGGGATTTGAAGTCTATATGAGTTCCTACAACAACCTCAAGTCTAACTTCAACGATCATTTGTGCGAGACCCCATATGACAAGTAAACCATCCAATAAAAGTGGTATTAGTAACGTATAAAACAAGCGACGGATCACTTGTTATATGTTAAAATACATTGATACTAACAAAATTCTTTAGACGGTTAGTGTTTATAAAAGTTTAAATCCGATAGATCTTAATATACTAACCTAATAGATCGTTTGTGCAAGATTCCATATGATTTAAATTCTTCACCAATTAGCGATTCTGGTGAAGCATAAGCAGACACATCTCAATTGTAATATGGCCAAATTTTCATGACATTTGCCATGACATAATATCCATTATAACAAAATTTATGGATCATGACATTTGCCATGACATAATATTCATTATTAGGCCAATGATTTCTTGCTATAAATAGAGTAGCTTCTCCTCATTTGCAAACACACCAATTCAAGAGTTTTTTCACTTTTGTCTTTCTTTCTCCTCCTTTATTTCATTATAGAATATTTTGTAAGAGAGTGAGTGTTGGGAAACACTTGTGTGAACTCTTTCTTTGGAGTGATCTTGTGAGGTTATTCTCTTGGGGTATTTAGGATTAATTAGAGTATTTACTCTAATTTTGTACTCTCTTTTGTACTCTTGTTGGTATAGTAAAATTGCTCATCTACGTTTGTGGACGTAGGTCACCTTGACCGAACCACATTAAATTTGTGTCTTCTTTATCTTCTTTAATTGTCGTTAGTATCAACTTGCATTGTCTTTGTTATTGTCACTATAACGTTGTTTGGCTAAATTCCGCACTATCCGGTAACCCGATCCTAACAAATTGGTATCAGAGCCAGATCTAACCGGGTTAGTTTAAATAGCCAAAATGACTCTAACAAAGTCTTATATTGAGAAATTTGACCGAAGTGCAAACTTCGGAATGTGGCAATTAAAGATGGAAGTTATCCTAATTCAATATGGCTTAGATTTGGCACTGCAAGGAAAGGAGAAGATGCTGGATAAAATGACGGACGAGGAGTTTGCCCGTCATAGATAAAAAGGCAAAAGCATGTATTATTTTAAATCTTTCAAATGAGGTTTTGCGTGAAGTTGCAGCAAAAAGCTCAACCAAAGGCATATGGGAAAAGCTTAAAACCCTATATATAAAAAGAACAGTAGAAAACAGGCTTTACCTAAAGCAAAAACTCTACACTTTTCGTATGGCTGAAGGTACCTCTATACTTACACATCTTGATACTTTTGATTCTCTTCTTATGGATTTAAGTAACATAGATGCTGAAATTAAAGATGAGGATCAAGCTGTGTTATTGCTTGTTTCCTTACTCCAGTCGTTTAAACATATACAAGATACTATGCTTTATGGAAAGGATAATATCTCTTATAAAGATATCAAATCTATTTTGAAATCAAAAGAACAAATAGATAGAGATATTACTGGGGAAACTAGTGGGAACCAAGGGGAAGGCTTATTCATAAGAGGTAGATCCAATAAGAAAGATTCAAGTAGTGAGAAACCTAAATCAAGGTCAAAATCCAGATACAGAAATGTCATGTGCAAATATTGTCATAAGAAAGGTCACATTATTTCTGAATGCTTTAAATTGAAAAATAAAGAAAAGCATACAGAAAAGAAAAATGAGCACAAAAATACTGACACTGCCGAAGCAAGTGTAGCTGCTGATGAGACTGAGGGAACTATTTTTTTAGCAACTAATAATAGTTTCAAATCTAACAATGAGTGGATTTTAGATTCGGGTTGTTCTTATCATATGTGTCCCAGTCGGGATTTATTTACCATATATGAATCTATTGGAGGTGGAGTTGTCTTGATGGGTAACAATGCTGCCTGTAAAGTTATTGAAAAAGGTACAGTCCGAATCAAAATGCACGATGGTGTAGTGAGAACTCTTACCGATGTTAGACATGTTCCTCACTTGAAGAAAAATCTCATCTCTTTGGGTACTCTAGAATCTCTTGGGTGCAAGTACACAGGTGAAAGTGAAGTTCTGAAAATTTCTCATGGTGCTCTTGTGATCATGAAAGCACGCAGATCTGGTACGTTGTATACTCTTTTGGGATCTACTGTTACAGGTGCTGCTGCAGTTTCAATATCAGATAAATCAGATTCTGACATCACCAAATTGTGGCATATGCGATTGGGGCATATGAGT